AAAGTCATCCACAAACTTCATTAAATGATCCTTCAAAACAGGCCAGAATTTTTTAAAGAAACCCATCGTGAAGCCGTCTGGACCCGGGGCTTTGGAGCTGTCCGAGTGAAACACTGCTTCCCTAACTTCATGTTCTGAAAACCGTACCTCAAGTCCATTTTTCTGCTCCTCTGATAATGTCATGAAATTGAGATTAATGTCCTCTACCTCCAGCGTATTTTTAGAGCTGTAGTTCTCCTTAAAATACTCAAAGGCAAATTTTTTCAGCTTCTCCGGATCAGAAATTTCTTCATCAGCCACTCTCAGGGCCAAAATTGAATTCATTCTATTTCTATTTAAAGCTGTTAAATAGAAAAACTTTGTATTCCTATCCCCATCCTTGATCCACTTCAATCTTGATCTTTGTAACCAAATACTCTCTTCCCTCCTATGCAGCTTCCATAATTCATTCCTGGACAGAATCAACAAATCCCTTTCTTGAATGGAAATCCCTCCTTCTTGCAATTTGAATTCCATATCATTAATCAAGTTTTCTAGTTGAGAAATTTTTTCAGAAATCCCCTTTTGAGTCGAAAAAGGCCTATCCCTGATCTTCTGCTTTGTTCCTCGAAGTAGAGAAAATAGACCCCTTCGACCATTCGCCTTCACCGTAGACAATGAATTTTCAATCAACTCAACAAACCCGTCTTCCTCTAACAAATAGTTGTATAATCGAAAAGGTTTTGGTCCCCAATTGTTGCATTCTTCTACTAACACCACAGGATTATGATCCGAAAGGGATTTTGGGAACATTTTTTGGATCATATTAGGAAATTGATTTAGGAAAGAACCACTGATAATAAACCGATCAAGCCTTACCCAAGTAGGAGACTCTCTGTTGTTGCACCAAGTATATCTTCCTCCAACTAATGGTAAATCCATAAGATTAAAATGTTGAACAAAGGATCTAAACAAATCCATGGAATGCCAGTTTTGAGCTACACCGCATTTCTCCCTTGTATCCAAATAAGCATTAAAATCCCCTCCTATGCAGACTGGCAGGTTTAAACACTGCACAAAACACATCAGCTCCCTAAAGAATTCCTCTTTATCCGCTTCTACTGCTGGACCATATACATTTATTAAAACACAATCAAAATTATACAGCTTGAACTTTCCTGATAATGCTATGAATCTGCTATGTTTATGTTCGGCATTGACCACAAAAACACTCTCATTCCACAAACTTATCAGACCTCCTGCAGAACCCTCAACTGGAAGAAAGACATGACCTTTCAATAGATTACCTCCTAACCTCCTCCATAAATTGCTTTTACAAACATTCAGTTTTGACTCCTGTAAGAATAGGATAGACGGCTTCTCTCTAGTAACGAGTCTGGCCACTGCTCTTATTTTTTCTCTTCTCCCAAGACCTCTAATATTCCATGTGATTAATTTTAACTTAGACATAAAATTGACAATCATAAACTTCACATCAAACCAAAGAAACCATCAGGGTCATTGAGAACCCTTCAATTCCATCCTAAAAATCTCCTCCTCTAGTAATTGCTGCCCCCCTTTAAAGGTGATCCCCAACATTTCACAGACCTCCCTAGTAGCAGCAGCTTCAATCCTAGCTTTAACAGAAGATTGGGAAGACTGAGATGCCTCCCTGACTTGCTCCACTGACTCCCTGACCTTACTTCTAAGAACCTTTCTATAAACTCTATCATAGAAGCTGATAGACACTTTAGTATCCGAGCCTGATCGACGAGGGGCTATTCTCAACTTTCGCTTATTAGTAAGGCTTTTAGACCGAGGAATACACTGATCCTGCTGATTAATAGGAACTAGATGACTTTCCTTTGCTTTAAACTGGTCATCTTTCTTGTGGCATGGAGTACTTCCCTCTTGAATCTCATTATTTCTATTCTTTGTACTCGAACTTGAGAAGATTTCCTCATTAGAGTTACATAAATTATCATTCATAACCTTCTCCATCTGCTTACCACCTTCCGATTTATCAACTGTACATTTAAACCCCTCTACATCATTATCAATCTGCAAACTAATAATGTGGTCCCCCTCCAGGCTTTTTGAACCAATGTAGTTATGCTTTCTTATAACATCTCCCTGTTCACTTGGATTCACTTCCTTTCCCCCCTGAAAATTGACTTTCGCCCCCCTATCCTCCCCCTCATCAGCAGCACTCAAGTGAATTGCAGGACTAGCATTGGGCAGTAAGACAAACTTGTCCCCAACCCATTTAAGATTAAATGCTGGCCCACTGGGAATCCATTTTTTATTTCGAAATAATGCAGCCTCATTTTCCTCAGATTGCACTGAGTCTACCGGATCAATTGTATCTCTCAATCCCAAGCCCAAGTGTTTGTCATTCTGACTTGTCTTAATTCCCAAGAAACCTGATAGCCCACAATCAGAATTATCTACTGTTGACTTACTCGATTGGACATGTCCCCCACTGACTCCATTCACTCCACTGTTCTGCCCACAATTTAGCCAAGAAATGAATTTAAGCCTAGCATCCTCTACAGACTCATCCCTGTCTTCAGCCAGAGTAGGATGTCTGCCAGATCCCACCTCTGACACGACATAACCACTGTTCCTCTTTTTTGAAAATTTCTCCATCTTCTTCCTTCCCGCTTCTTCCTCTGGTTTAATCAAAACAGATCCCAGAGTGATCGTAACTTTGAACGATCTACCATACGAACCAATCGTCACTTTATCAGGAATATCATAAGGACTTTCCACCCTGAGCAGGACTTTCCACTTCCTTATAAGCTTTCTTAAGAATGCCTCATTCCAACACAGTAAAGGCAATCCAAATAACTCAATCTGGCAAAGTGCCGACGGAACTCCATCCTCGTTCAAAACTGGGGCTAACCAATCAAAGCATAAGAACAACTTTTCCTTTTTATTCATCCATACCTGTGAGGCCTCCTCCACCGAGTTGAAAGTAATTATGCATGCATTCCATGCATAACCCCATCTAACAACTTGAACTTCCATGCCTTCTAACTCCAGAGCGTCCTTCACTGAGTTATGTTCAAAAGAAGACTTCATTATCCCTGATAGTGAACGTTTAACCCATTCCGAATTATCTGATGGAATATGCATGTCCCAAACGTTTCTCACAGTTAGAACACTCTGATTGTTACCCGGCAAGTTTGCCCCTGATATTGTTTTCCTTCTCAAATCATAATCAGAGTTCACCACATCCTTATACGATCTGTTATCTCTCAAGCTTCTCAACGACACAGCTCTCCTCCCCGATCCTGGTGCATATTTAATCTCAGACCTGATCTCCAACGTTCTCTTCCCCTCCACAGCTTCCCTTCTCTTAACCTTTTGATACTTAGCGATCCCTACTGAGACTCTTCTTCCATCAAGCCACTTCCCATTCACGAATCGGATTGCCTTGTTTCTACTTTCCTCGCGAGCATATTGGACGAAAGCAAAAGTAGAAGATTTGTAATTTGGTTTTTCTAAAAAACGAGGGATGAAAATCCTCAAGATCTGACCATAAGGACTAAAATAATTCCTTAACACCCCTTTGGAAACACTTTTGTTAAGATTATCAATGAACACTGTCCATTCCTCATCAGCATCAATGGAAATTTTTGACTTTTCTCTCACTCTCTCTCTACCTAACGCGCTCATATTATTTCTCAAACCAAGTGGCTCAAGGTTAATGAACGCACACCGGTGATAACCATTGAAACCAGGAAAACATTTTGTCTCGATAATTCGACCACGCCTTAACAAAGTCTTCATTTGACTTGAACATAACAATGACAGCATTCCCTACGAATCCCCAACTTACTATCTTTACCTGAAATCCCTCCTTTGCCAATGCCTTCTTCACCATGTCCGGCTGCAGGGGATATTTGACAACCCCTGTTAATGAATACTTCACCCAGCCATAGTCATCAGTAGGATGAATACTTCACCCAGCCATAGTCATCAGTAGGAATGTGCATATCCCATACATTCCTACCTCCATTTGCTTTCACAAACTGACCTCCTTCACTCTCCACTAGCTCATGCTACAAGTTCTTCGAACTATCCCCCTTCAGCACCTCCTCGTACGATCTGCCATTCCTCAGACTACTCGCTTTTTCGTTTGCATCTGCTGCCTACCTCTGTCCCCTATGACTGACTTGTTACCTTCCGACTGACGCTTATACTCCACTGTACCTCTTCTCCTATTCTTCTTGTACTTTGCCACCCCCACTGACACTCGCTTCCCATCAATCAGCGTTCCATTCACGTTCTGAACTGCTCTACTGCAGCTCTCCTCTAACGCAAATTGCACAAAGGCAAATGTGGATGATTTGTAGTTCGGTTTAAATATAAAATTTGGAATATAGACCCTGACTACTCTACCATACTGGATGAAAATCTCTCTTAGCTCACTTCTAGAAACTCTCTTACCAAGGTTGTCAACAAAGACAGTCCATTCCTCACCGGAGGAGGGACTACCATACACACTCGCTCTGTTTCTCTCTCTACCTTTCTCGCTCATGATTTTAATCACTTAATGTTTGTGAACGTAGAATGGTGGTCTTTGTTTTTATAATATATAATCCTTTAATGCAGTTGGGATTGTACCATGTTGAGATCTATAGTTCAACAATTCCTGCAAAATTATTGTATAACCTCGTCAAAATAGTTCACATCTCCAATTCCACGTACTGAATTTATTATTTAAGAAAAAATAATGAATGTAGTCATGTTATTTCTCATTTTCACGAGTCCTGAATATTATATTTTCCTTTCCAATAGGCAATTCTAAAAAATTATATCATTCATTGTACTTTAACTAATTAAGCTAAGGTGTTAAAACTGTGGGATTTTAGATTTGGAATTATGATATCAGTTGTATACTGAAGTTAAGCTGAGGCTTTAAAAGTGCACAAATCATGATTGATTAGAGTAGTGTACAGGATTGTAAGTGCTGTGCCGCTTCCATAATTTCATGAGTTGTGTCTTTATAACAGTTGCAATACAAGGAGGCAGAGGGTTCATCTTTCCGTGATGGTTCCTATGTTGATATGCCAGGTTCTGCAAAGGTTGAAAATCTGTTTCTCTGATCCCTTTTAATCTCACATAGAATTATATATGTGTGATCATGTCAATGGTTCAAATATTGAAAATTTGGGGGTCTGTCATGAGCAGCGATCACAACATGCTGCAGATCAGGATCGTACATTTGTCTCCGACACCATTAGTTTTGGAGGTAGTATATATCTAATCTAAATTTATTTTTATCTGAGATAGGCGAGTTTAGTGGTTTTGATTACTTTCATATTTGATAGTAATTCCAGGTGATAGAGGAGTAAAAAGAGAGCAAAAGCGAAAGGTATGTCCTAATTATATTTTTAAGTGTAGTATTTTCTTGCCTTTGTGGGTTCCCTAAGTGTGGAACATATGTGGTGTTATGATGTGGTAGGGACCTGGGAGAGCATCTGAGACTCCATCTTCACCAGCAGGAGCTCATAAAAGGCCAAGAAAGATGAAGGATTCTGATCTATAACATAGGGTGAGCAGCCAAATTGTTTGTCGGTGCCTCGTACAGGCAAATGATGATGATATTGCTTTGTCGGATCGGCGAAATTCTCACCTGCCTGGTTATGATTCCTGGCAAAGTTCTCAGGGTCATTGGCAGCCCCCTTTGTTAAATCTAACCAAGGTCGTTAGAAGCAGTTGCAGAAGCTCCATCTTCCCCCCCCCCCTTTGACCAGGCTTCGTAAGTAGGAACAAAGTCCGTATATTTGTGAACGATATGTATAAAGCCTCCGAATCCAACAAACTCATTTGCTTAGTCACTGTCAGTGTTACCGCTCGTGGATAGTCCATAATTTCGAGGAAAAAAACATTTGCTTAACTACTTGATTCTGTAAACGTTTAGACTAATATCTAGGAGGCAGGAGCTGCCCTCATTGTTTTCCTAGGGGTCATCTTTTTCTCCAAGAAGTTTATCATGTTAAGAATATGTAGTTGGCTTAGGGTTTGGTTTTAACCGTTTTAATCATATAACGGGTTAACTGAATATGAATTCAATTGAGAAATGATATTTTTAAAAGATGATGATAAATACTATTTTTATCATGCCTTTTGTCATTCAATATTTTTATAGTTTTTGAAAATAGGGTAGAGTATATAAATGATCTTGACTATACGTGTTAACAAAATGATAGGGTGTTATTTTGTTTAGTTTTCGATTATCAGAAGTTGCAAAATAATCCTTTAACTAAAGGATGTTAATTATTTTTAGTCTTTCAATTATTATTTTATTTTGAAAAAGCCTTCAATTATTAAAAGTTAAAAAATGATCACTTGATTATTTATTATGTTCTAAATTTATTTTTTTCATTAAAAATTGACAACAGTATGAGTTGGATATTAAGATGCTATAAGAGATGTAAAATCTGATCTTAGAATCTTAAATGATTATCTTATGTTAGATAATATGTTAACGTCTAGTTCAAACTGTTATTAATTTTTTAACGGAAAATGATAAGTTTGGAACATAATGAATAGTTGGGTGATCGTTTTGTAACGTTTAATAATCAAGGACTCAATAAAGCAACATCCTACAGTCGGGTGATCTTTTTGTATAATTTAATAGTCAAGAGACTTAATAAATCAATATCCTATAATCGATAAATTATTTTATAACTTTTAATAATCAATGAACTTAACAAAACAGTGTTTTATAGGTGGGAGAGTATTTGTGTTCTTTAACCTGAAAAATAAAAATCCTGACTTAGAGATTGAAGACGTGATTAATTGACTTATACAGAAATTTCATGCTCCATCCATGACGATTCATTAATAAAGTTTTTCATGCTCCATCCATGACGATTCATTAATAAAGTTTATCTAAAACATTTTTTCATTTGTTATGAGTGTTAAATTTTAGTTTATATAAACTCATCAAATCATTTTAGTAGTAAAAAAAGAATGTTGCTCTTAATAAAGATTATGAGTTCGAAAAGTTATGTCTATAGAATGTTTGTCCATTATTAATAGATTAAGAAAGTTTTGAATATATATTAGTTTATAATCAGTTAAACTATTAAAAGTTGATTTATATTAAATAATTAAATTGTTTAAGGAAAAGGATTTGAGGGTTTTTTATAAAAGTATTTGTGTTTACCTTAATTAACAAAATATAAAAATAAAAAGTGGTGATGTTAATTGATAAATAGTAATAGGGTATAAATCAAAGAGTTGAATTATTCATTAAAATTTGAATTTAGGCGGACCAAAGCTCAATCCATCTCTCTTAATGCAAAAAACAAATGGTGCATTGTGTGTAGTTACATTAACAATAAAGTTTGGCCACATTAGTCGTGTTAGTGTATGTTTGCAAAACTCAATCCTTTAATTATTTGTTTGCAAAACTCAATCCTTTAATTATTTTCTTTCTTTCAAGAAAAAGAAATGATACGAAAAAAGAAGCCAATAGCATTTAACTTTACCTGTTTGACAGCAAAAGACCAAAGGAAGACACATTTTCTGCAACAAAGATTTCACACAGCAGCATGGTGAATCCTTCTACTGGTACTGACCCATTCCAACAACAACCCTTCTTCACCAAGGGAGCCCCAGTGGAGGTCAGCAGCGACGACGAAGGCTTTCGAGGCGCTTGGTACTCCGCCACAATTCTCGAAATCCCTCCCAAGTCTGCTTCCAAGAAGCGCAAGAAGGCCTTGGTTAAGTACAAAACTTTGCTCGCCGATGATGGGTCCTCCCCTTTGACCGAACATGTCGACCCCGCTTATATCCGCCCTTTGCCTCCTAATGACAAGGGCACTGCTCACCTCGACGTAAACGACGTCGTCGATGCCAGCTACAGAGATGGTTGGTGGACGGGGGTTGTGAGGAAGGTTTTTAAAAAGTCCAAATACAGGGTTTACTTCGATAATCCACCCGATGTCATTGAATTCGATAGGGAAGCTTTGAGGGTTCATTGGAGCTGGATCGACGGCAGATGGGTTCGCCCTGAAAAGCTGGTATGTTCCAGCATTCCTCTCTTTTTTTCTTTTCATTTTCGGCTCTTTTTTATCTGGAATTTTGGGGTTTTATTTTGGATTTGGGAGGTTGTTTTTTTATGGTGGAAAAGGTTGATTTCTGAGGTTCATTTATTGTAGGAATATATGATTTTCAATATTAAAACTGCTAATGTCCCTGCATGTAGCTTTTTACAGTGATATTTTGCTCTATATATTATGCTTTCATGACTACTGCTAAAGACTCGTATATGTGTTTCACTTTCTATGCTTCCTTTGTTTTAGTTCTACATTTCGTCATATAAATTTAGATTGATCTGCATGAAACTTTGTAATTCCCTCAACAATGCATGCTGCTTTTTCTTTGAAGAAAAAATGTTTCTTTCTCTTCTATGTCCGATTTAACATATGTCAATTTTATGCTTTAGTTTTTCTCTGTATCTGTTGCTTAATTCTCTGCATTTTTTCCTCCCCAAAATGGACCACTATGCCGTCTCTTATTGGTCATTTGTTTTTTTAATTTTTATGTGTTCTAAAGCAATCAACAGGCTCCATTTTTAGCTCAGGAACAACTGTGGAGGTAAACATCGAAAATGAAAACATAGGCTATATTTGGTACCCTGCAATAGTCATAAAAGAAAATGAGGATAATACTTTCCTGGTGAAGTATCAGAACTCAATGAATGATGATGAATCTGGGACAGTAAAAGTTGTTGTAGATTCCCTCCATATCAGGCCTGCTCCTCCTCGATACGCAGATAGAAATTATGAATTGCTGGAAAGAGTGGATGCAACGTATAATTTTGGTTGGCGAAGTGGAGTAATTACCAAAGTTCTTACAGGAAGAAGGTACAATGTCTTTTTTAAGCATGGAAATGAGGACAAAGAATTCTGTCACTCCGATATCAGACCTAACGTTGAATGGATGGATGGCAAATGGATTAGTAAATCCAAGGTATCTCTCCTATTACATTGTGCAAGTCACATATCTTTTAATCATATTAAAAGGCAAAGGAAATAAATATTTGAAATAAGCTCAAGCAATAAGATTTTTGTTTCAGGAAGTCATAATTGTGTCTGACGAGCAAGAGCAGATAGGAATTGCTCCCTGTGGTACCCAAAAGACCAAGGTGGATGGAGAACTTGAAAGTTCCTTATCCACAAAAGAAAACACTCAAGATAAGACTCCTTTGACAAAGATGAACAAGAATGCTGTGGAGAAGTCAACTTCCACTGACGAAAGCAATGCTTTGAAAACAAGCAAGAAAAAGGTCAAGCTGGAAACATCAAATGGTAACACTTCTCTCCCTCGGCCTTCGAAAAAGCTAGCTGAAGGAAATGCAGTGGAGACACCGGTATCAGTCATAGGCAATAAGTTAAAAGATATAGAAGGCAACCCAAGGACTAGTGGTAAAGGTGCTAAATTCTCTAAGAAAACCGTGATTGGTGATGAGCCTTGTGACAAGATTGAGTCCCCGACAACAGGAGCGACAACTGTGAGTTAGATTTATTCTTTGGAGTTTTACTGTTCATGCTAATCATGTTGGATCATTTTCATTTCCTCCATTGTTTTCATTTGGACATTTTAATACATTTCTCTTTAATGATGAGAAATGTATAAATATCACTTTAAAATCTGGTGTACTTTACTATTGTGTGGTATCTGCATTGCGTCTTTGAGTTGCCTTTCCTCACCACACAACTTCTAGAGCTTCACTGTGTTAAGAGTATGTTTTGTTCTAAAATATGCTAGAAAATCATGTATTACTTCAACTGTAACCTTTGAAAGCCATGCTAGCTTGCCTCTTTGAAATCATAATAGCTAAAAACAATCATGCTACATCGTTAAAATTTGGCCTGCTTGACGTAGTTGTTACCGCACAATGGGTTGTTTCAAGGGTTTAGCAAACTTGTTTTTCAACTGGGATATTCAATGTGCTCCACTCGCTTTGCAGCAAATTGCTTCAAATGACTGCCTTTTCTGTCAACATCACCGCTCTAACAGGGTAATGATCATTGAGTATTGTCACTTTGGTTTTGTTGGCTCCATCAGCCACTATTCCTGATCAGCACTGTCTCTACTATCTTCATTTGACCTACATTTCCCCTTACTTATGCAGACAACTAAGAGGCCGAAAGCTGGTTCAGCTGACAGTACGACAAATAACCTTGTGAAAAGGAATGTCAGAGCTAGAAAGTCACCTAGTAAAGGCCCACAGGGTACAACAGCAGCTACATATAGCCATCGGTATGCATGCAACGGTTTGATTATTGTTTAAAAGTAATGCGTATTACATATTTTCAGGCAAGGATGGAGCTGCATGGATTGCTGAAGGAGCTACTGAAGGGACGATTAAAACAAAAGAGTCTGAAATGCCCATCGTCATAGGATTAACAGCGGTCACAAAGACTTTACAGGCCGAACATTCCCTTCAGATTCCTAGTGAGGAACCTCAGAAGCTAATGGGGGATCAAAAGAATAATGTAAATGATTCAGTCAGAAATGAGAACATGGTAGGCAAAGTATTCATATTAGTCTCTGCCAAATTTGAAATGCCTCAAATACGTACTTAATATTGATATATATTTCTTTTCCATTGTCATGATCATAATAGGTAAAAGAGTATACCTAATGTTGTTTTATATATAATGCCTAATGAAGTGATTAACTTTTGGGTGTTGTCAGCTCACGTTTTTAAAATAGAAAATTTTCTTGAGCCTGCTCCCTTGCCTGTGTCTTGTATCTTAAAATGTTATCAAATATGTAATGGGAATCCTCTTTATTGATTTGTGTTCCTATACTATGTTCCTTTATTTGTAATTGTAACTATTGCTCTTACTTGTATAGGAAGGAAAGGAGCATAAAGTTGGAGCCAGCGATCTGAAAAAGAATAGGGGAAGACCTACTAGATCAGTAGTTACAGGTACAAA